TCTCTGCTTCTGTCTCCTTGAACCCCAGTCAGCCTCAACACATGGTGGCTCACACTGAGCCTGGTTCTGCTGGAGGTTTCTGCCTGTTAAATGGGAGGTTTTTTTCCTCTCCACTGTCGCTACAAGCATGCTTAGCGTGAGGGATTGCATTTGAGTCAATGAATCGATGCAATCAACTGGTGTTCCTTAGATAGAAAACTTTGAATGAATCTGACTGTATGATCTGGTTGAACTGTAAAGTGCCTTGAGATGACATGTTGTGAATTGGCGCTATATAAATAAACTGAATTTTCACAGTAACAGAAACTGACTTTAATATTTTGCTAGTTGAAAAAATCTTTAAGCTCCTGATGTTATTGGTTATTACTGAGGTTTCATTATTGTGTTTTGTTTGTCCTAAGAATTGAAACAGATCATTAACAAAAAGATCCAATATAGAAAGAACACTGTGATTAATTTATTGCCCATATCTTCCTGCTGGTGACTCTTCTCTGCTATATTTTAATACATTTAAGGTCAATCTAAACTTTCCCCACTAAGCTCTGGTTCTCTTTATTCCCAGTGAACCACTCAGCCACAATAAAAAGTAAGGTTACCAGTAAGGTTACCAGTAAGGTTACCAGTAGAAATGAGAAGAGCATTTCACTGGGATCCAAAATCTGCATGAAATTGATTCATTTTTCTTTTGTTTCATAATTCTCCATCTATTTCAGGTGACTGAAAGTAAAAACAGCTGATTGGTGACGTTTTATTTTGAAATATCCAAACGTTTAATTTCCCTTATAGTGCAGGAGGTTTACTGCAGTCATGTGTTTAAGTCCTGCATGAATTAGTCCAGCTTAGCCGGAGGTCCAAGTCATTTAAAAGAGATTTTCAGTTCATATTTCTGCAATGATGAATGATGCATTTTACCAGCAGGAGCTTCTATTTTTTACAAAATTGCTTTAAAAAAATAAAAGTCACATTGTTTTAATTATAAGGCTCCAACACCTGGCATGTGTGGTGGATTATTTAGGTAGAAGCGGACAAAGGTGCAACTCTTCAAACTTGGCAGTAAAATGAATCTTGAGAGATAAATTGTGAATCACCCGTTCATTTAAATTAAGCATGTCTATTTTGTTCCTGTAAGTCTAAATATAATAAAGCCGTTTATAGAATCCTTTTTTTTCCTTCAATGTGTTGTTTTCAGATACTTTAGCTCTTTTCCCATTTATTCGGTGCCCCCATATGACCTGTTATCTGCCATGAAACTAACTGTTATTTTAAACCCACAACAGAATCATAAGATCGTACGATTTTAGGGTTTCCTGTTGGCTTTACTGGTCTGGGCTCATCATGATAAAAAAACTGATCTATTGATTGATTTTTATGCATCTGTACTTTAAGCAGGTGAGCTAAAGTGGACAGATAGGTAAAGGGTACGGTGGCCTGAGAGGCACACACACTGTAACTCACATCTTTTCAGAGATAATTGCAAAGTAAAAATTGAAACGAAAGCAAAAACACATGCAAAGGAAAAATGTTAGAAAAAGGAAAAAAAATGCTTAAAAAAGCGAACAATTGAGGAATAACCTAATTGCTCCAGACTACTAGAGGGAGCTGATCATCAACTCATATGATAAAAAATATAAACATTACTAAAAATAAATGCGTATGGATCAGACCCTTAATAAATGAATTGAAAGCTGAAAATAAGAAAAGCAACGTTACGTCTTCCTTTCAAAGTTCTTATCCTCCCATTCATGCCTTTACTAAGGATCTGGGCCCATATATTAGTGATTATCGCCCCCTACTGGAGCATTTCCATGATGCAGCTCCAGTTTGAAGCTTATAGAATGAAACCCTGCATTTACATAGAAAGTGCTTCCAGTAAAAATGTCTTTAATCTGCCTTGCAAGTGTTAGACTCAGTCAAAGTGTGACTGCTTCTATTATAGAAAATAGCTGCGATTTAGACTTCAACAGGACATAATTGCATTTAATATTGACTAAAGACTAAAACAAAACAAACATCAAATCTCTTTTAAGCAACTAAGTAAAGTGGTTTTCAGTACATGTAGGTCAACAGGCTTAATCATCATTACTTTTGTTTTTTTACCAGGCATAAATTGGATTTTAGATGTGACCCACCTTCTCTGTTCATCTTTGGAGAATGAGGCCGACCTGCTGGGCTTGCTGCTGGTCTGGGCCCGGGGTTGGGAGCTCTGCTTTGCTTGAGAAGCACCTGATTAAAAGAGCGAAACATTTAATATTAGAAAAGCCTTACTTCACCCAAGCACAAGCTTCACAGACTGACTTCTCCATCTTTAAAGACTTCCAAACTTTAGCTCTAGGCCCAACATTAGATTTTAATCATATTTAACTCTAAATCACCTTCAGTTTTAAAATAGGTATTTAATTAAAAAGCTTGTAGTCCCCAGGCTACAATAAGATTAATCACCGAAACACAACCCAGTAACAGAATCACTTGAACAGCTGATCTGATATTGGATCTAAGCAGTTTTATCAGCATCTAATGAGTTCTTTTATAGATGGTAGCAGACACTGCGGGCCTGATCCTCAGATGGGTATGTATTTTTTAAACAGGGTGCGAACGTGTTTGCAGATCAGATCTCCAGCTCAGATTAGGTTCGATAGAGCAGAGCCTGTAGAACACAATCTGCTCGCTTTAATGAGCTACACTCTCCATCCTCCATCATTGTACCAACGCCTTGCATCCTTTGTGGCAACAGTGACGGAAGTTTGCACCTGACTTTTAGAAGTACTGAAAAAAGAAACGCTAAAACTGCAGCTTTAATTTGGTAAACTGCTTTTAACATGTTAAATGTGTACATTTGCATACAACCCATGCATTAATTTGCACTGCTTGCTCATTAGAATAGAATCTGCATATTGATGAAGGCAAACACACAAATAAAAGTTTGGATCCGCTGTCTGCTGAGTTGAGAACATACATTACTT